GTGGCAAAGGATCAGCTGCATGACCCCGCCACCAAGTGCTTCATCCAAAAGGACAGGAGGATGGACTTTCAGTGATTTGATCATCAAAGGTAGGCCTAAGTCATTTTCAATGTGGGCCGCCGTGCCGACTTAATTCATTTTTAATTGTTACTTGGCTGTGGGTGCCCTGTCATGATAGGTGTTTATATAAATGGTGTTGTTTTGTGTGGTAGAGGGGTCGCTGTCATTGATGCGTTTTGTACCCCGGGCCGCTGTTTTGATATTCCGCTGAAGTCTACGTTGTGACGTAGTATATCTTCTTTTCTTTCGAGGGAAGGGGGGTCAGAGGGCCTAGGTATACAAGTCACGGCTCGCCACTGCGTCTGACCCAGTATGATAGAGCAAGTTTCTCTCTTCTGATCTCCAGAGGTGTCTCTCCTGCTTCTATCAGAACTGCATTAATAGGGGATGACTTTATCGCTCCAATACACAGCCGCAAAGCTTTATATTGTATGCTATACATTTTTAAAAGCGATGTTTTTGCTGCTGCTCCATACACCATACACTCAAAAAAAGGACTTTGGCTGGCTGGTACATCAAATAAAATGTAACAACAACGTAATAATTTCATGTTTCCAAGATGAACGTGATGAAAACATGTATGGTTGGCATGAATCGCAACAACTTCACATTTATTAGATTCATTCATGTTGAGATAAACTGACACAAAGGGATTAGGGTACATATGATTCCCACTCCAGAGCAGAAGGTGGCGGTATAACCACCAATAAACTGGATACCAACAGTCTATTACTTTTAAATGTTCACGGTTGTAAAGATGTGAAACAACAAACACGGCTTGAACAATAAGGCATGCTACATTCTTGACTGCTCTTGGACACTTCCATGGATGACTTCCAGACTTTGCCATGGTTTGATTTTGACCGCGATCTGGCGGGAAAGGTTTTCCCCTGCATCCTGTGTGCACTCGCGATATTTGGGCATAACCGTAAACTTAACCATCATCATCGCGAGAGAGGATCATTGAGACAAGAAAGACCGTTGGCGCAAGTTGGAGGAGGTAAGCAGAAAACATTGTCATCTAACTGTGAAGCTGTTAATAAATGTCATCAACTGCTAGTCCATGAGCGATATTGTGGTAACGTTGATAGTTAATTTGTTATTTAGTTTCATTTTTTATCTCACTTAAAAAGCCGAATGAGCCGACGAACATGCTAAAGCTAACGTTGTTAACTAGCTAGTCTGTGTAACTGCCAGTTAGGGAGATGGTTCAAATATAGGATATCAGGATTGAAAACTAAATGACGGTAGCATTACCCTGGGAAAGTTAAACGGAAAGTGTGCTACCCCAGGCGCTTATATGTCAGTAATATCAGCCCCTTTTACAAAGGCATGTTGCGCCGTTATTCGGCTGCGTCACGTAAATTAGCTGCCAAGCTAGCTGCCATGCGGAGCTGACTGCCACTGTGGTTTTCGCAGTTTACACACGCGGCTGCTACATGCAACACACACACACACACACACACACACACACACACACACACACACACACACACACACACACAGGGCAGAGAGCAATTTGTCTAAACATCTTGCAAAAGTACACCACACTCAGACAGAAATGCACCGTCTTTTAAATTGAAGAACTCTGTTGAATTGGTTTGGATATGACTAAGTAATTCGTCAACTTCTGTCTGATAAGGGCACTGATAAGGTTCGGTGTAAAAAAAAGCAGATGTAATGATGAGTCTTAATTTACAGCAATATTGCGAGTTCTCTGTGTAACTTAACTTTCATGTATGTTGATTGGTCTCTCAATTTTTCACAGCAATTTGTGACTGCAAAAGTTCCTGTGGCGGCTGTCCGACCGCAAGAGTGTCCTGTCTAACCGTACCTGTGTCTGCAATCCAACTTCATCAGTGAGGTAAAAGGTGTCATCTGCCATTCTCAAGTTCATGATTGAAATGTTTTTTTTATTTTTTGCTGGTGATTTTGTTTTGGTGGGCAAATGTGGAGGTGTAAGGAGTGTAGTGAATCTCTTTCTGGTAGATATGAGTTACTAAAGCATTTTAGACTACAGCACCGGCATAGGCAACGCTATCCATGCCCACACACAAACTGCCCATGTACATTTAAGACATGGAATGCTTTGCACATTCATTTAAATAGAGCCCATCCCAAACAAAACTCTCAGGAGCAGCTGGAGTTGTCAATATTCAGTTGTCATTTGTGCACTTCGAGCGATCTTCCTAGGAGAGGGATTATTTTGTACACATTGGAACTCATTTTAAGAGTCATGAGACTGTTCCTTGTATGTTTGTGGGTTGCAGTTTTGAAACAAATATATACGCAACATTTCACTCTCACAAAAACAGGAAACACAAACCGCATACGTTGAAAGATTTCAAGCCAGGTGTAGTTAGAACCACTCTAGTTGCACAAGAATCCTCTGATAATCCTGTGGAATACGCACATAATCAAGATGACTCTGCAGTTGAAGTACACAGTGCTTGTTCAAGTAGTGATGTGGATGTAACTCAGAACTCTTCCAAAGTAATTGAGAAAAACTTTGCTGCATCGTTGCTCAAATTAGAGCATTTTGCACATGTGCCGGGTACAAAAATTGATGCGTTTTTGGAAGAACTGCACTACTTAAGTTCAGCAACATTGCCCCTCTCCATTAACATTCTTGAAGGTGTATTTCAGAAACATAGTCCCACAACTGATAAGTCTGTGATAACAGAAGTAGCCACTGCTCTCTGCGCATCAAACCCTTTGCTCAAAGCCATAGGGAAGGGTGGTCCCCTAAGGACATCTTATCTCCGCAATTACAAAGACAGCTTTAATGTTGTAGAACCCATAGAGTACATACTTGATGCCAAGGAAAAAAGGAGTTTTCAGTATGTGCCTGTACTCAAGTCTTTGCAGCAGCTCTTTCAGAGGAAAGATGTTGTAGACAAGGTGGTTGAAAACCACAGAGTGCAGCAGAGTAATAGGGGGACTGGTGAACAACAGACTTACAAATCTTCCCAGGATGGTTCACACTTCAAGGAAAACGGTTTTCTATCAGGGGATGACTTGAGAATTTTGTTGACTATATACATAGATGACTTTGAGATTTGCAATCCTCTGGGTACTTCTCGCAAGAAGCATAAGCTTTGTGGAATCTACTGGACTTTGAGTAATTTGCCTCCAGGCTCACATTCATCACTATCCTCGATTTACCTGGCGGTCTTGTGTAAAACTGATGATGTGAAGAAGTATGGTTATGACCGTGTCTTACATCCTCTCAAGATATGATAACTCTAGAACAAGTTGGTGTTTTCATTCCATTGCTTGGCAGATGTCTTAAAGGCACCATTCAGGTTGTTGCGGCAGACAACCTGGGAGCTCACAGTATAGCTGGTTTCAATGAGAGCTTTTCTGGTGGATATATCTGCCGATTTTGCACAGCAACAAGTACAGACATTCAAACAAAAGAGGTAAAGTCAGGTGCATTCAGTCTAAGGACAAAAGAACTCCATGACTCTCGTGAAATCAGCGCAGGAGAATGGGGCAAGCTGTTTTGGGGTGAAAAGACATTGTTCCATCACTCAATCTCTTGACCACTTCAGTATTCACACGGGTTATCCTCCAGATATTATGCATGATATTTTTGAGGGGTTAGTGCCATTAGAGCTTGCACGTTGTTTGGCATTGCTAATATCTAAGAAATATTTCAATCTTGAAACCCTCAACAAATCTATCCTGCAGTTCCCTTATAAGTGGGCAGACAAAACAAACAGGCCACATGTGATCCCACACACATTTTCTAAAAGAAAAACAATAGGTGGGAATGCCCATGAAAATTGGGCTCTGTTGAGACTACTCCCATTCATAATTGGGCATCTGGTGCCTGAGGGTGAAATTGCATGGCAAATACTGTTGGACTTAAAAGACATTGCAGAGCTTGTGGTTGCTCCAAGACAAACAGATGAGTCAATTGCCTATCTTGAGGGCAAGATTTCAGAGCACAGACAAAAGTACCAAGAACTCTTCCCTGATGTGCGACTGCTACCAAAGCATCATTATCTGGAGCACTATCCACAACTGATCAGGATGTTTGGTCCTCTTGTGGGCCTCTGGACCATGCGTTTTGAGGCCAAGCACAGTTTTTTTTAAGCAGGTTGCGCGACACACCAATTGCTTTAAAAATGTGCCCCTCTTGCTAGCTACTAAGCATCAGCTAATGATTTCCTATCAACTGGTATCATCCAGTTTTGATGAAGCTGCCCTGGAAATCACAAAGGTCTCAACATTGCCTTTGGATGTATTGAAACAAGAAATAGCTCAGACTATTGCCCAGAACTTCCCTGGTACAACTGAAGTTCACTTAACAAAGTGTGTGTCAAGCAAAGGGGTAACATTCAGAAATGGGATGATAGTTGCTCATGGGTCTACAAGTGGACTGCCTGACTTTGGAGAGATTCTTCAGATTTGCATTGTACAGGAGAGACTATGTTTCATGGTGAGAAGGCTTTATGGGTGGTATAGGGAGCATTTCAGAGCCTTTGAGCTGAGTCCAACAAGAGAAACTGTTTTGATTGAGCTTGAGGAACTGGCAGATGACTATCCTTTGGCAGACTACTTTGTTGGACCTCTCAGAATGGTGACATTAAAAAGACACATAGACATATGAGGTAACCAACAGATTTAACATTGAATGGTTATTTTGTCCTCGCATTGCTCTATTGAAATTAAGATTAACCCTTGTGCATCCCTTGAAAAAAAAGTTCTGTATAACATGTAGGCTAATTTTGTCATCCCTCTTTCACAGACGGCCATGGCTACTCCAGTGAAGCTCAGAATCATTTTAGGAGAAAACAGTTCCCAGAGATTGATCCTTCCAGATGGGATTCCAGAAGCTGTCACTGAACTCACACAGCAAATTAAGAGGCAGTGTGGAATAGAAGGGGAATTCAGGCTCCAATTCATGGATGCTGAGTTTGGGAATTAATTCACCAACTTGCTGTCAACATCAGATGTCCAGGACAGAAGTTCCATCAAGGTCATCTTTACATCAGTTGCACCTGCACAGCCTGTTGTCTCCCTGCCCCCTCCCTACTCAGCTGCTGCCACTTCCCGCTGTCTAAATGACTCCTTATCTCTCTCATCTGGAAGCTCCGTCAATACTGACATACTGTCTTCTCCTGAGTCCACGTCAAGATCATCTGGATGGCCCCCTGTCTTCATTGTGCCCCGGTTCTCTTACGACACTGAACTACAGCTGGACAGGGCCAACGCTACTTTCAAAACGGACGGAACATTGTTGAGTCCTGACAACAAACTTAAATCTGCCATTCTTGATGGCTTAGCTGAGAAGATTATAGAGTACAAAGTAGGGCTGTGCAATTAATCGTATTTTAATCGCGATTACGATTATGGTTTGCGACGATTATGAAAACAGCATAATTGACAAAATACGATTATTTTTGCTGGGTGCGCTTTCGCCCCTCCCTAAAAGCCCACTCGGCCACGTGGGAGTGACATGTGTTGTGAGTGTTCAGCGCGAGCGAAGATGTCAGATCAAGAGCAGCAACTCGTTAAAAAGAAGGGTACAACTATTTCCACTATTTGGAAGTACTTTGGCTTTCAGGAGTCCGACGTGGAGCAAAACAAAGTACAGTGCAGGATTTGTTACCAGGTTGTGTTGGCACCACACGCCAACACAACCAATCTCTTTAATCAGCTGAAATACAACCACAAAGTGCAATACGACCGGGCAGTAATACAACAAAAAGCAGATGCCCGCTCGACTTCATCCACCACATCATCACAGTCATCGATTCTGGACGCATTGTACAGAGCAACGGCCTACGCGACGAGCTCGCAGAGACACAGAGATATTACAGGTGCCATTACATTTCACATCGCTAAAGATATGTGCCCAGTTAGCACTGTTAGCAACCAGGGCTTTAAGCAACTTGTCAACACGTTGGACAAGCGTTACGCGATGCCGTCTCGGTATTATTTCAGCAGGTCTGCGCTGCCTGCGCTATATGACAAATGCCGTGGGGAAGTTGAGAGAGATGTGGCTTCAGCTGACTACTTTGCTACCACAACAGACCTATGGTCTAGCCCAGGGGTGCCCAACCAGTCGATCGCGAGGTGTCTAAAAATAGAACAACAATATTCTGTTTTATCGTTAATGTCCTGTAACATAATCTTCCTGTGCCAGAATAATGCACTTGAACGCATCAAAGCTTTGTGATTGGCCGGCGTCACCCCATGTGTCGGGGCGTGGCTGAGGGTCTTCAGTACAGGTGGCAATATCGTCACCTGCCTGCGCTCATCTCTGAAACCAGACCATGTCAACAGGCTGGTGTTTCTTGCGAACAATCTTTAAGAGATGACATGAGCAGCCCTACCAGCATTTGCCATGGTGGCCTAAACATTTTTATTTGGTCTTAAATTGTAGTTCAACATTTATTTCCTGTTACTTCTGGACCATGACGGTTGGCCAGCCTTCAACGTTTAACTGAGTGGAATATGTTGAATATGTTTTACCAAAATGTTGGCTATATGTTAAGGAGTTTTCAGTAGGTTGTGACAGTGCACTGCATCATATTTGATTTCATTTATTTTGGTCTAATTTATTTTTATTTATCATATTAATAATATATGTTTAGTATGGTTTTGGAAGTGCGCTCCAACATATTTGATCTTGTTTATTGGTAAAATATTATTTGTTTTAAAGTTCAATAAATGGTCAATGAATAATCGTCAAAATAATCGTGATATCAATTATTGACCAAATAATCGTGATTATGATTTTTGCCATAATCGCACAGCCCTAGTACAAAGTCTACCTCTCTGACAGTGAGTTTGAGGAGGTAGCAAAAGCTCTTGTCTCATCACATCCATGTTTGAAAGAACCCGGTTCTTTCACTGGATATGGCGGATGGAAGACGAGCTTGAAATATAAACTTGCTAACTACCGAACAAAGCTTAGGCGGCTTGGATGCCCCGAAGTTGTAGTAAATGCCCTAAAACACAAACCTGATGGCAAATGCAGTCCTGCCTATGGTGTGAAAAAGCCGAAAAAAGCAGAGGTGAATTACTGCCCCACCTACCCATCCGGGGAAACGGCAGAGACGCTTGAAAAGTTAAGAGTGACCCTTCTCTCAGAAGTAATACAAAGGAATAATGAGGACAAGGTGGCAACATTGATGGAAAAGACCTTTGCATGCAGAAGGCAAGAGGTTGTTCGGCAGGCACCATTGATAGCCGATTTCAAAACCAGGTGGCCGGCTCTCTTCCATGTGCGTGAGGTAAGTGAATGAATGTGTGAAGGAACGTCCCCTTTTTACTTTTATTGGGATATATATAGTAGACAATGAATGCTTACGGACTGCACAGTATGTGCCATATAAAAGACATATTGACAAATTCTGAATTTTGTATGTACAGTGGCATTTGTATGCAGGAATCATATAAATAAATACATGATTTATGCAATTGCATGTCTTAAACGGACTGAACTGCTAAATCAAACCTGTGAACAGTGACATCAAAATAGCCAATCTGAGTTTTGTGGGTTTTGTTTTTTTGTTGTAGGTGAATGCAGAATTTAAGAGAATCACAACAATTAATTTGCAATCCAAGTTCTTCTCTTCGCTGGATATTCACTCTACAAGCCTGATCGACGTGTATACCAAGAAAGGTGGAGTTCAAGGGAAGAAGATCAAAAGCATCATGCTTCCCATAACCCAGGTATGAAAACAATGTAAAGGTGACAAAGAAACTGTAGGAGCTGTACAAAGTCTAGGATGTTCCATGAATAGCATAGCATCCGGAGCATTATGTTTTCGATATTTTTTTGATACTTAGCACCACATCCATTCCCCCAGTGGGGGTCATTGTATCAGAGTGAGCGGCATACTATTATGAAGGCCTAAAATAACGCACTACAAAGCTGTCCAGCAGTTATTCCTGGAAATGGCAGATGTTCCTACCCCAATGGTCAGAGTGTACTGTAGGGCTGCAGCTATCAATTATTTTAGTAATCGAGTATTCTATCAATTATTCCATTGATTAATCGAGTAATTGGAAACAGATTACCTTTTTAAAGCAAAAGTATTTCTTCAATAAAAAGCCATTTTAAATATTCAATAATTGTTTTCCTTTTTTAGAAAAATGTATTGCTTAAATTGCATAGTATATTATCTGTCCAAACTAAATCCATTTAATTAAAGTGCAATATTACATTCAGGGTTTTAAAGAAAACATTTGTGAAACGGTGAAACCCAGACTGCTTGTTGTTCTTAATGGGCTTTTTTATTGCATGTTCTCTGACCTGCATACTTAGACTAACAGCATTGACGTGAGACGCGAATGCATCCTCAAAGGTCTTTGTGTCTACTTCAATGAAGATCCAGAGAAGCTGGTGAAGGAATACATGGTATTAGGGCTGTGCAATTAATCGTATTTTAATCGCGATTACGATTATGGCTTGCGACGATTTGGAAAACAGCATAATTGACAAAATACGATTATTTTGCTGGGTGCGCTTTCGCCTCTCCCTAAAAGCCCACTCGGCCACGTGGGAGTGACATGTGTTGTGAGTGTTCAGCGCAAGCGAAGATGTCAGAACAAGAGCAGCAACTAGTTAAAAAGAAGGGTCGCGGGGAGATTCCCAGTCGATCGCGAGATGTGTCTAAAAATAGAACAACAATATTCTGTTTTATCGTTAATGTCCTGTAACATAATGTTCCCGTGCCAGAATAATGCACTTGAACGCATCAAAGCTTTGTGATTGGCCGGCCACACCCCATGTGTCCGGGCGTGGCTGGTGAGCAGTGCACTAGTTCGCTGACGTTGTCCGTGTCAACAGCATGGATGGTCAACAGGAGTGACAGTCCGCACACACACAAGACCGCAATTATGGCAGAAGCAAAAAAGCCCAAAATATATAATTTTCACTCCAAGTGGGAGGATCATTATTTTTGTATCTATTCCAATTCAAAGTCCATCTGTCTCATCTGCAATGCGAGCGTGGCTTTATCGAATAAGGGTAATTTAGGAGCGGCATTTCAAAACAGTACACAAACGCTACGAGACGGAATTCCCTCCTAATTCTGCCCTACGCTCCCAAAAGGGGAGGGGCCTGAGAGCACAGCTAAATGCACAGCAGTCCATTTTCACCAGGCCCAACAACAAGAGCAAGGCTGCTACCAGAGCATCTTATCGTGTCAGTCACGTTCTTGCGAAACACATGAAGTCTTTCAAAGACGGCAAAGTTATGAAATAAGCTTTCCTGGAGGCTGCCGATGCGCTTTTGTGGGACAGTAAAAATAACAGCAGCATTTCAACAGGTTTTTGATATAATAAAAACTCAATTTAAATACCGTTATTAATCTGCTGTAAGTTTTAGTTTGTTTGAATTTATTCATGATAATTATTGTACAAAATGGTATAAGAATGCAAACATTAAGATCTGTTCTGTTTAAATTGATTATAGTCTATCAGTTCAGAAACTAGTGTTGCTTGCATCCTATTTTAAAGGCATTTATTTGTATACTCTAATAAAATGCAACAAAAAATGGGTTTGATTCTATTAATGTTGCAGCAGATTACTGTGTAGCTTCAGATCTGAGTTGTCTTATTAGTAAGCCTCATTTATACTTTTGTAGCAACACTATTTTTATATAATGGCAAAGAAAGGGTTCTTCAGAGTCTTTTCTTTTTTTCCTGTGTCATATGTGGCAGCACTGCCACAAGTTCCTCTTCAGAGAGGGTCTTCAGTACAGGTGGCAATATTGTCACCTGCCTGCGCTCATCTCTGAAACCAGACCATGTAAACAGGCTGGTATGTCTTGCAAAAAAATCTTTAAGAGATGACACGAGCAGCCCTACCAGCATTTGCCATGGTGGCCTAAACATTTTTATTTGGTCTTAAATTGTAGTTCAACATTTATTTCCTGTTACTTCTGGACCATGACGGTTGGCCAGTCTTCAACGTTTAACTGAGTGGAATATGTTGAATATGTTTTACCAAAATGTTGGCTATATGTTAAGGAGTTTTCAGTAGGTTGTGACAGTGCACTGCATCATATTTGATTTCATTTATTTGTCTAATTTATTTTTATTTATCATATTATTAATATATGTTTAGTATGGTTTTGGAAGTGTGCTCCAACATATTTGTTGATCTTGTTTATTGGTAAAATATTATTTGTTTTAAAGTTCAATAAATGATCAATGAATAATCGTCAAAATAATCGTGATATCAATTATTGACCAAATAATCGTGATTATGATTTTTGCCATAATCGCACAGCCCTACATGGTATGTTGATTTACCTTTTTTATCTTCACAAAGAGGAGGATGATCATAGTTGGAATGGATTGTGTTTCTTCTAAAACTAACCCTTAGGAAAATGTTGCCTTTACATTTTGATGATGTTGGATGTGTTAATGCTTTTTGGAAACAGTGTTTTTTGTTCTTTCTTTTTTTTCAATTTGGAAAACCCAAACTACATAAAGCTCAATATGACCGATTATAGAAATGGGATGTAATGCACATCAGTGAAAATCACTCTCCTTATTTGTTTTTCACAGAGCATCGACAACAGCAGTCAAACGGCAGAGACGGTCTTCGGAATATTTGTCATTCGACACGAAGGTGCAGAGCCTGGGGATGACCCCGAGAACGTTGGGATCATTCTGGAGGGGGTCGAAGTGTTGGATGAGTTGGGAAACGTATCTTTTGCGGTGGCGATGATGTTTGCTCTCGTGTATGCTCTAAACTTGAGCTACCCTCCAGAGCTGAAGTTTACATTTGAAGCACTGCAGAAAATAATGATGGAGCTAGATGGAAACAGACTATCCACAAAAGGACAAGTCCTCAAAACATTGCTTTCCCGTGCCTAATGTCACTGTTTTGGGATCGCCTCATCTTCCAAACACGCAGCCATCAGAGATTCGGTGACTCACCTCTTTGACAGAAATGTTGATTGTATGCAAGAAGTATAAAAGTAAGCATTCAAAGTTGGCTGTAGCATGGTTAGGTGGACCTCACTGAGCAGAGGGCTGTGCGAGGAGGCAGATGTTACCATGTTGCCTTATTTGGTCTACTGTCGAAACTCAAGTTTGTTATACTGTCCACCCTAAAGTTGAAACATTTTAATATTTGGGAAGAAACTGTGTTTTTTCAAGCATCTGTCAGTGTAAAGCTATTTTGTGAAATATATATTCACTGTTATATTTAATATCTGTCAGTGTAAAGCATTGTTTATCTTTGCCTATTTTGTGAAATATATATTCACTGTTATATTTAATACAGTGAAACACAGTCTGCTTGTTGGTTGAGATGGTGTTCTTAATGGTCTTTTTGTATTGCATGTTCTCTAATCTGCATACTTAGACATCTTGTGTTTGTGTTATGTTTCCACCCTTGAAGCTCACTAGACTGTAGACTGTTGAATTTCTGTTACTGTTCACTCTAAACGTTTTAAATGTGTAAACACTCAAAAGTTATTCTTTGAATGAACTGGATTAAATCATGGACAGTATTTCCACATGATGAAATGGCTTTCTTTCAGTTTTAAGCAATTACGTTGACCCAACCCAGGTAAATCAAGTTCGTAACAAACCTTATAAATAAGTAGTATCAATCCTAATAGATTACGTTGACCCAACCCAAGTAAATTCAGTTGGACCAATCAAATTGCTTAATCTTGAAAGAAAGTGATTTAATCATGTGGAAATATTGTCCATGATTTAATTACGTTCATTCAAAGAGTTATTTCTTTGAGTGTAGTCTATTGTGGACCTCATAATTGATCTGTAAATGTCTATTAATGCTTGTTCGTCTGCGCCCCACTTGCATCCTACAGCTCGCAATAAATGTAATACTTTTTAGCATTTTGTTTCCACTTGATTAATATGCATTTTCCATGTGTATTTGCTATCAAACCACAGTATAGGTATTTGAACTCATTCACCTTTGTCATTGGACAATCATATAGTGTTAACTGTTGGCCATCAATCTTGCGTTTATTTGTAAATACCATGTAGCATGACTTGCTTTCTGACATTTTGAATCCCCAGTTATATGACCACCTCTCCACTTTTTTAATTGCTCTAGCTATATTCTCCATTACGTATGGGGCATTTCTTCCCCTCATCCAAATAGCTACGGACAGCGTTGAAAACGACGGCGCACGTTTCTTGTTTCTGTGTCACGTGGTTTGCCACTATTGCTGCTGCTCCCATACTTTACATTATTAAAAATACATAGCCTATTTTATTAAACATAAGCTATCTTAAGTTATAGAACATATATCAAATATTTGATAAAATACTTAAATTCAAGTACTTATTTAATTTGAATACTGTTAGTCCTGCACAACGCTCCAATATGTGTGCACATCTGTATACAGAGCTACCTCTTTCTGCACAGCTTTTCACTTTTTGTAACAATCCTGCACATGTTTTTTTCTGAATCTGATATTTCCCAATTGTTTAATGATTTTAATTCAATGATATGTTCAAATCTGATGTTAACCTGTTCAAGATAATGACATGTGGTCATCCAGGCAAGGCCTACCATTGAAATGATGGGTCAAAATAGGGAAATTGTCAACTAGGTTACCTGTCAACTAAGTTACCCAGTACTGTAGTAACTGTAGTAACTTAGTTGACAGGTAACCTAGTTGACAATTTGTATGACATGGAGACATCATTACACATCATTATCAATTGATGTTTGCACTTCTGCCTTGAAATGAACATAGTGCTGATGGTTAATAATGTGTCCAGTCAACTATGTTATTTGCGTCAAATGTTTGACTTTCATTGTCAACGATGTTGCACCTAATATTTTCGCATTTAAAATAGTGCTTCTGATATCCTTTAGTATAATGTACATCTACACAGGTTGGAGTTTTACATGACATCTCTTGAAACTATCAAAATGACCTGTATGGTAGTTTTATAATAAAACATATCCCTATCCCTATGACAGTGCTGAACATATCACATGAAAAAACAAAACTTTAATACAATTATTTTTTTAACTTTTTCAAATCAATGGATATATGGTAGAATAGACTCAAGAGCCTTTCAAATTGGATTTTACTTGAAGTGCAGGACTTAATGAAATGATTGCAATGACATTAAGTTTGTCCGTAACATATACAAACTGAGTAGTGAAAACATACTTTCCCTTAAAATAAAAAAATGTTTAAGCTTTGCAACTAGTGGATATGTTACACTGAGGAATATACTAACTTGAACCACTGATTGTTCTATTGAGAAAGAACACTTTTTTTGTACTGTTTTGTTGATGTGAAATGTACCCTAAATTATAGAATCAGATACAATTTAACAAAAAAACCTTCTGTTCTTTCAACGATTGTTTGCCTGATCCAGCCTAACATTTCCCCGTAAACCCTAAGAATCCAATATGCACATAGTAGAAATTCTTTCTTGTACTAGATAATGACTGGATTTTCATGTTACCATATTGTGCCTGGTGTGATCTAATTTCCTTCATAATAATTGTACAAATTGAATTAACAATGACTCTACAGAAACCTTGTTGAACATATTTACCAGTGACTTTAACTCCTCCCATGCCACAAGGTGTCTATAATGTTTCTACTACTGTCTGATAACTCCATTGTTACCTACCGTCGAATAAAAAAAGCCCTTTGGATTTTGAACTTAACTTAAACATATCCTCTAAATGGTGTGTGTGTATGAATTGTATGATGTAATGTGTGTGTGTTATGTTATCTTATTTGCCAGTTCCAAAGACACATTTCCATTACATAATGGACAATATAATATTCTGAGTCTGAAAGGTGTCTATTAAGAAATAGGTAATTTTTAAGCATGTTTACCTATATTTAAGTCACGTACAAATGTGTAGCTGTCAATTGAGGTACATTTTTCTCTGTAAAGGCAGCTACATGTTTCTCAATGATGACAGACCTGTTCTCTCAGCAACACAACACATTCTCACTCCCAACTCGGCCTATGTTGAGAATGTGTTGGTTCTCTCCCTGTTTAAAACCAGGAATGTATTTACAGAAAGCAACCAATAAACTGTGATTTATAGCTACCATAGATATGTTATCAACCCTCTCATGTACTTACTTTGTGTTGGACATACAACAAATGTTTTTTTTTAATGAGAAGCATTGAACAGTTTGAGATCAACTATGGAAAGGGTTTGGAAAGGTAAGGTGTCGGAAAGATTTGACCAGCATTTAATCTGCTTGTTGTCATGTGGCATCTGAGTGGGCAACATTGAAAAATTACAATTACCTCCAGAGAGGCTCTGCAAGGTCTGCAAGTTTTGACAAATAAAGAAAAAAGAGAACAAAACATCATAATAATTTTACAATCAGAAATCATCAACTTAAACATACCACTCAGTATGAAGAAGGACAGTCATTTGAATGCATATAAATATTGTAAAAAAAACATCCTGTTGCTTCGATACTTCTCTCTAGTGGCTTCCAGCAATACAACTGTTCACTCCATCTCAACCATATAATATACCAGCCACATCAAATAGTTTTATTAATGTTATAACAACTCTTAACCAAAATGTAATGACTTCCCTTGAGGTAGATTTGCTTTCAAATGTGGGGCGAGTCTAAAAGACAACAATGTAGAAAAACATCTTGTAAAAGTATATTTAGTTATTACAATAGGCCTACCCAAACTTTATTTTATTTTATCATCGGTGGCGGAAACGTTTAAAAATACATTTCCATACTTTAGATGCCGCAAAGAAGCCATGCTGCGTTCACACCGGACGCGAGCTCACAGCTCCTCATATCTGTTCAGAAACTGGACAAAAGTTGAAGAAGAACAAACCACAGACTGTCTGTGTCATGGCGAATACAGTAGCTGGTTTATTTATGTCTGTAAGCCGTTGTTATGAGTGTGGAATGAGCATATACAACGTTAGCTTAGCCTGGTCGACCCAATCTCCATTCAGAAAACAAGCATTTTAAAAGGTTTTTCGCCTGCCGTCATGTCTGCAGACTTGTCAAGCATTAATTCATGGGTTTTAATAACTGGTATCAGTATGTTGTTATTTCGGCATCATTTAGAAACGTGTATTACAATTTTATCACGGTAAAATGTGTTCATTTTGTTGTAGTTATAGCTCCCGAGCCAGCGCGTCTTGTTTGAATGATGCGAGTAAACACAGCTGGCAGCCGCGGTGAAACTCGAATATTCGATACAAATATTTAGTTCGGTTCGGTTGTTCATCTTTCAAAAACAAACTTCCCTCTGTCACTGAGGTCACATCCGTAAACAAGACGTCCTCTCCTGAAACAAAGCGGAGCGTACCATTTCTACCAAGGGCGATAGAGTATAATATTGTATTATATTGCCTTTACCGGGATGAAATATGTGTATTTCATTGTAAAATACTGCTGTTTTATTCCACATACTCCAATGTGTACTCAAAATCCGTTTATTACAATTATTTGGTGGTCGATCACCCCTGTGTGAGTAATAGATTCGCCTATGTGTCCTTAGGGCCAGCTGGGGAAACGACAGTCCTTTAAACGAAGAGACGAGCATTACAGGACAAGATCGACGAATCTTCCCTTCAGAGTTGAGCTATTTTAGGTACCAGTCTCCCTTTCTGGAGACTTGAATGAGGTAAAAGTCGCTTTTTAACATTGTACTGTATTTTAAACCGAGAATCACTGGTGTTGTTGACAACTTTTACGTCCATTTTTACTTTACGTTTGGGTTTGTTGTGGGGCGGAAACTTTGGTACAGTCGTCGAAGCTTCCAATTGGCACGATAACGCTAATGTCTGCCATGCGAAAGGACCAATTTCATGACTTATTTGTCTGTTATAGACACAGTGGTAGGTCAAATAACAAATACGGTGAACACTGCCTAAATGTCAACAGCATAATGTCTTTATTTCGACAGTTTTTGTTAGGGTTCATGCGTGGACATATAAATAACATGTTCGATGTGAAATGTGCATGAAGTTCTTGTTTTGGTCTGCTGCTCAGATCACGTGTACCCACTGCTCAGGCGTGTTTGGATTTTTTTTTTCTCCGAATGGTGAGAGACAGGGAGCTGCAGCCAATAACGAGAGTCCCCGTGTGGTTAGCCCCGCCCCCCTGCTCCTGTGCTTTGTTTACATTACACTGCAGTCGAATCTGATCCGAGAACACTCTTTGTCTCTGCAGCACTTACTGTAACAATATGGACCTCACATTGCATTCTTCTAAAAACCTGAGGCTATAGGATATGGATATTGACATATGTATTGTGAACAGCCCATTGCATTCCAGTGCTGTATCTTACAATCTACAATAAAGGTACAACGATTGATTGTCATATATGTCAGATAGTAAACAATTAAACTATTGGACTTATTTTTGCAATACTTTTTTCAGGGGACAAGATTCCAGCTTCTTAAATGTGAATATTTTCTGGTTTCTTTACTTCACCATGACAGTAAACTGAATTGCTTTGTCTTTTGGAGAAATATATCAATTGTTTAATTACATTACATTTGTTACATTTGTCACCATTGTCAACCATTTTATAGACAAGCGGCTAGTCAAAAAAAACATCATTAGTTGCAACCAGTATTTGTTTTTGTCATGTCAATACATGTCGGATCTTGTTATCTTGTTTTTTGTACACTGCAGCATTTGACCTAACATTCAGACTTCATTAAGAGGAGTTCTTGTAATGAAGCAGCAGATGACTGAGTAGATCTAATCCGTAATCAGTTTCCAGAACTGTACTGCTCCCATCTCTCTCCTATAATCTCTGAAAATTAGCCTTCTTTGTTGCCGTGACCTAGCTGTCGAGTCTAGCAGATGATGTAACGCATGAAAGGAAGTCACACACCCCTCACCCCTTGAGCTATCTTTAAGCTAAAAGAGCAGCGAGGGAGTGTGCGTTCATTTTTGGCATCAGATAACTGAGACCAGGGACAGCCAATGGTCACTCTGCCAGCAGTGGATGTCCTAAACAGTGCTAGCAGATTAGAACATGAAGAGGCCTTCTTCAGTAAAGGTGTGACAGTAATCCAGGTGAATTTATACCATTTGTGTTCTAATGGTACAAACATGTACACAGCTTCCAGGATACAGATGGGTTTTAGCTCATATTGGTCTGAAAAAAAGTCGCTTTCTTTGTTAATGTATTAATGTGTTAATGTATGTATATTAGCGTGGGACAGGTGGAACAGGATCGTGTTGTAGGTTGAGGAGCCCTCTGTTGTCCTGTATTGCCCTGGAGGAACAAGATAGGCCTAGACAAAGTCTCACTTTTTGCGCTAATTTAAACCTAGGCATGATAGTGGGTCCTGTTTGTGTCCTGACTTTGGGTAGTGTTGTCTCCCTCTGTGGCAGTAAACACAACAACTCCCTGCGTCATCATCACTGAGTTTAACAAGATGTTCAATTGTGCAACAAGGCAGCAATCTCTGTTTCCATAGAGACTAGCCCACCGGCAGTTTTTTCTTTGTTTACCCGGTTTTTGTTGCAATCTATTAACTGCTCTGGCAGTTAGGTAAAGGCTTAGTCTGTTGTTTTCTACTCAGTGGACTTATTATTTGAGACATTCCTTAAAATACAGCAGTCTATGGTTTTGTTATTGTCTGTTTTGCTATGGAAGATGTTTTTAGTTTTTAGGCAAAGTTATTCCCTAAAGCTACCCAGCACAGTTGTAGCAGTTAATAACACATGTTAGTGACCATTTCATCCATTGAATGCACTTTAGTTTTCAAATATATTTTTACTTTAAAAATTTACTTTTTCAAATATATGTTTACTTTAAATTGGCTTTGTGTCAAAATCAATGTCTTCTTATAGAAACATCTCACATTGTGCAACAGTTTGGCACATTTACTTGTTTTTGGACAACAACAGAAGAAATAATCTGCTTTTGGCCGCTCTGTAAATACTTTTTAGAATGTTTAATTTATTGTGCGGTTTGGTCTTTTCATGGGATGTGTTGCTAATAAGAAAAGAAACATCAGCTGTCTGTGATATTTTTACTATGGTATAAATACCAATAGCAGTTTCCAAGCAAAGGGGGAATGATTAACTTTCCATTCTTAACCTGTTCCTGTGCTGCTGTGAAAGTTGTACTCATTAACTTGTCACTTGCTGAACAAGTTCAATTAGAAGAAGCGTTCAGAAATCACAGTTGTAGTCAACAAGCTAGGTCATGTTACTGATTTCTCATGTGCAGCTGTAACCCAAGATGCCTCTCAATGATGAGCGACCTGCCTCCGCATCCGGCGGGGAGAAGCAGGACGTGGAGTCGTCATCAGAGCGCAGCGACAGCGTGACCTCAGCCAGCTCCCGGGAGAGCTTCACCAGCGACGACTCCAGCAAACACTGCACGCCCTCCTGTGAGTTCACCCCTCAGACTCTGACGTACTGATTTCATTCCTGTGTGCAGTCATCTTTTTCTCAGGCACTCTGGTTTGTTTGGTGTCAGGCTAAACTTTGAGAATGAGTATTATTGATTCTGATAATATTTCAAGACTTCAAAGATTCATGATTCAAAGGCTTTATTGTCATATGCACAGTAGCTAAAGTGTAGATATGGCAATGGAAATCTTAAGTCCCAGGCTCCCCCTACAATGCAACATAAATATATATGACATAAACATTAAAACAAATTAGAAAAACTATAAAAATAGTGCAAGAAGAAACGGAGTAGAATAAAAATGTGCAAGACCAATGTGCAATTAATGCAGATGAAGTAAACTAAATAAATACAAATAGCTAAATGTTGTTAGTAACAAGTAAATGTTTTTTTCTTCGAACACAACGGTACATTTGATGTTCCCACTTTTCTGTTTCAGCTCTTAATTGTCTATTTAGTAAGGTTGTTCAATATTCGTTTATCACAGCAAGCCCACCCAAAACCTTAACTCTGGATGAAGTGATGGAGTCTGCCAGAGACCTGTCCAGTCTCCGCCTCGCTCATGAGATCGCCGTGAACCACGACTTCCACGTGGAACCAGAAAGCCTCCCTGAGGGCAGGTATGAAACATTGTTTGGATCTTGATCATGTTATGTGGATTATTAATGAACCTAAATACCAGTCTGTGAGGTTAAGCTTTACAAAAACAATTCACATGAACTGGATCACTAATTGCATTAGGCTTGATGCCATTTTTACTATATAATGGCTTGTCTGCTCATAACTAGAATGATTAGCAACTGTAAAACCACCTTGAAATGTTATTCAGCTACTTCAAGATTAAAAACATATGAATGTTTTCAGTTAAAGACAAGAGGTGGAATTACTCAAAATAAATTATCTTAATTGTTTAATCTGCATGTTTAATGAATTAAAGTACCTTTTTTATTTGTCTAAACGATATTGTAGAAATGATATAGAGACACTAACTTTTGATCAAACATATTCAATATGATAATAATTGGATGGCATTTTATAGTAAAGAGCCCATTGACCTTATGTTACCATTTTTACTGTATTCAACAACATCTGTCCGTCTGTGTTTATGTTAATCTTTAGCACAGCACTGAAATAAACAAAACAGTGAAGTGGACAGAGACATTCAGAGGGGGGAAGGGGAGGAGACGAGAGGAAAAGAGAATCATTTATTTAGTGGAAGTGCAAAGAAAGGGACAGCGGAAGTTATGATAATATCAATAATAAGGCAGAAGTTATCTTCTGCCTTATTATTGATATTATCATAACTTCCGCTGTGTGCTGACTTTCGATACTTAATAAAGGAGGGGTTTTTTATTTTTTTTAAAATGACCTAAACCAGTTATTCAGTATTTTGGCACCATCCCCACCCTGATAACGACACTGACTTTTTCTCCTTCAATGCCCATTTCATGAATGGCCATTTTTTCATGACTGATTACATCCTCAGCCAAACTAAATCCTCCGTTTCTTTTTTCAAGTCTTACTAAGCTAGTTAGAGATACTCTCCACAAGGCCTTCTGGGACATCCTGGCGTCCGAGCTGACCGACGACCCTCCTGAGTATGGGCAGGCCATCAGATTATTGGCGGAGATCAGAGAGGTCAGCACACACAATGAGATGTTTACAGCTTCACTGTAAGATTGATTCTCGCCGAGTTTCCCGACATTTATCCACAGCGCCCTCTCCCATTTTGAAGATACTTTTGTATCTGCTTCTCTTCATCTCTATCACCTCCTTTGTGGCTACTATATGTCACCAATCGAGTAACATTACTGATCAAATGTAAGACTTATTATGATTTTTGCCTCTGGACAGATTGTATTGTCCTTTCTTAATCCGGGGGCCAATCGGATGCGGACACAGATCATGGAGGTGCTGGACATGGACCTGATTCGTCAGCAGGCTGACAATAATGCTGTAGACATCCAGGGGCTCGCCTCCTACATTATCTCCACCATGGGCAAGTTGTGTTGTCCCATTAGGGATGAGGAGATCAAGAAGCTCTGCCAAAACTCAGATAACATGGTGACAATGTTCAGGTAAGCACACATTCAAGCTTTTAGAGACATTGTGACCAAAGATAGATTTTTCTGTAATGCATGTTTTACCTATGTTGCTATTATTAAAAGCAAGTCCATCACAGAGGCTCTTATTTTTGACACATCAGGGAGATCTTCCGACTGCTGGACCTGATGAAGACTGATTTAATCAACTATGAAGTCGATACTCTGAGGCTTTTGCTGCAGAGGCACGGTGCGGAATGTGAGAGGGAAATGTTTCAGAGCGTTCTGGACAAAACTCCCAGTGAGTGAACAAGGGACGACTTTCTCTACAGCTTTAAACACTGTCTGTTTTATCATTTCTGTTGCAACACAATTCATCACGTTTTAGAAAATATCAGATTTGAATGTGAGAAACATAAAGTCGGATATTATATCAGTGGAATAAACACATGACTTTCTTATTATTGACAGAAGAACCATCTCCTAAATCTGCATGACTTTTTTTGACTACTTTAGGTGCTTTGAATCACACCACCTCGTGGCTCAAGTCCGCCCTGGAGGAGCTGACGAACAATATCCGAGAAGAACAGACTCACAATCAGGGGAAGGGCCAGCTGGTGCCCGGGCCCTTCCAGGCCCTCAACATCGCATTCCTCCACATCCTCACATGGGAGAACAATAAGAGCCCGCTGCCTGAGGTGAGAGACACCTTGTTGTTTATGTATCTGAGAAAGAAAGAGTGTCTGGTGTTTGTGTTTTGAAGATACAATACAATTTCTGTTTTGTGAGTAGTTTTTGTCTTAATATAAACATGCTTATAACCAGAATCAGAATTCCTTTGTTAGTCCTGCAGTGTGGAAATGTACAGTGTTACAGCAAAAATGGCATAGCAGGTAAAAGAGGCATGCAATAATAAAGACTGAGCTCACTTATGAATTTAGGTAGAAAAACACACATTTGTAGTACAATACAAATTAGTACACATCCATGGCTAAAAATGAGTAGCAGCAATTTAAAAACACGAAGTTACATAAGTATCATATTGTGTTGAGACATTTGAGAATGTGATTGTATTGCACAATCAGTGGCGTTTTTATATGTACACAAGTGGTGGGGCACGAACAACTTGGATGTTCATATGTAAGCTTCTGCTGCTTTTTTAAACACGTAAACAAATAGCTGTAGGCTATCCATGGTTCCAATAGAGGGTGGGGGGGGGGGGGGGGGGAAGTGTCAAATGACATACTGTCGGAAAGCCTTGAATAAAGAGCACGGAGCAACACTGTGAGCGCATACATTTACGTACACAGCGTGGGGATTGTAATGCACCTTAATACATGCAGTAAAGGGCACCATCACAAAGCAATACATATAAGGAAAACACAGACACTCATCACCGAGGTCACAATATCAATCGATCCAGCAGAGCAATAGCCTATAGGCAAAGCACAGCAAATCAGCTGCAGTAGATGGTCAACTTCAGCCATTTTCTTTCCGTTTTACAGATTTGAATCGCTATAAGCTGCTCTCTCTCGTCTCCTCTTCACAACTACACTTTTCGCGGCACACGTACTTACAGCCAATCAGCTCTCTGAATTATGAGATGACGTTTTGGTGGGGTTGCCAGTACTTTGCCCCACTGGTGATTATTTTGTTGCCGCACACATTGAATAGAAAAATACTCTGAGCATGCGCAGTGTAGTTTTTACAGCACCCATTCATTTTGACAGCAGAGAGAGGGGCTTGCCCCACATCGCTCAACACGGCTCAATAGGCACACTGTAGACACTAATTAGAAGAACGCAGACTAAAACGACGAATCAGATGACTAAACATGATCTTAAAATATATTTTAAGATATATATTTTTGGAATTATTATTTGAATGACTTTCTGCTGACACTAGGTGGGGCTGTACCTGCCCCTAATGCTGAGTCGCCACTGTGCACAATTCAGGTTTATTGCACAAGATTGCAACAGTCCGTAATGTGTTATTATAATCTGCTTAAAACACTGTAAATATTAAATATTATATATATAAATATTCATAAGGCTTTTTTAGAACAATCATACAAAGTTTTTTTGTCAATCCTCAATTATGACAACAACTATGATTCCCCCTGATTCCTGTCTTTATGCTTGGCTAAGTTTTTCTTCTCATCTAATCTCAGCAAGTTAACAAATAAGTGTATTTTTAAAAAAAAGTCAAACTAATTTGAACTTGAATTGTTTTCCTTTCTAGACCTTGATGAATGACGAGACACGTTTGCAAAAGATCCAGCAGCAGCTGCAGCAGATTCAGGCGGTGAACGAGGTGCTGCTCATCATCTTCAGCACCATCGGGGGGGCAATCCAGGGTCTGCCCCTCCTGTCCGACCGCCTGAAGAGGATGACCAGTGTGCTGCTGGACGGGATGCACAGCCCGTCAGTTGTCTTTTTTGTATAACCATGATCTAAGATTATTTTACATGGAAAAAAGAGCTCTAACCAGAACCTTCCTCATATTCTCTGCAGGGACTTTAACCAGGAGGAGGCACTAGAGGGCGTCAGTGCTCAGATCTGCAGCGAGCTCAACAAGTCTTTGACAGAGAGGAGCTACCCCCCGTTGCCCCCCGCACTGCAGGCCACCCTGACAGGCCAGATTCTCAGCATCACTCAGAAGGACAACCCCATCCGCACTCTCGTTGGTAAGAGAGGATCCAAATGAAAGAGGATTATGCATCAATGTCAAAAATGCATAGTATATTTATCTGTCTGTTGTCATGCAACTGACAGTTTGATACATACTTTGTTATACTCATTACAACTCACCATTCCTGCTCATACCCGGCCCGCCATCTGAAGCGCATTATGACGCTTTTCTTTGTTTTAATAAATACTTAAAAGAAACATAAATACATGAATAAAATAAGTTATAATAAAATATTGTTTCCACCTTGTTTTTAAACTTAAAGGTAGGGTAGGTAATTCACTTCAGAAACACTTTTTGTTATATTTCATGGAATGCTCTTAACATCCCGATAGCAATGAATAAATTGAATGCTTTGACAATAAATATATACAAATATTTCATCTGTGGAAGCTGTGGCACTGTAAAAAGCACGACCAATCATCTGCCTCGGCCCGCGGCAGATGATTGGATGACCTACCTGCCTGTCAGCCTTCCATCTCGTGCACAAACTTATCTCGTGCTCTCATTGGTCATGTGCGCGTTCGTGTGTGTTGGAGGAGGGGCTCTGTAAGGAAGTCTGAAGGAAGGGGCAGATTTGTTTCGGTTGTGTACTTTCAAATTCTAGCGCACTCAAGCTGGTTTCTCCATTCTTACCTACCCTACCTTAACACATTAAGAATTAAACATGCATGCCGTCTGGCAGTCGGTACCACAGCATCAGGAAAAAAACCACCAGACTCAGGATCAGTTATATCTCTCACAGGCTCCGCCCTCTACTGGACTCTACTGGACTCTATGGGTACTACCTTACCCTGCGAGCATTCTCCCACTGAGACTTCTATAGACGTAGCCGGCCTTGGGCGGGCCTACCTGAATGCGCGCGCATCACACCGTATAAAAGGAGGCCTCACCTCATGACTATCATCCTTTTCTCTTCAGCAGGGGAGGTGATTCCACGAAAGACTGAGAGACGTTTAAAAAGAGTTATCATACCTCCAGGGAGTCGCCACTGCTATATTCGAGTGTTTGGGGGACCAGGATATGGCCGAGGCGGTGCCATTCACGTTCGGCATTCCTTCCGGGTCTGGCGTCCATGGAAGTCCACCGCCCAGGGCTGTACTCTCCCTGGATGATGATCATGGCGGCGGGTGTGTGGGCTACTCACTCATTGCTAGAGATGCCCCCGCCTCACCAGGTCAGAGCGATTATTGGGCCGCAAGGCCGAATAAGTAGCTTGGTCCACGGGCCTTGCCCCAGGCCCGGTTCCCCCGGGGACCGGTGCTCGGTGGCTTCACATGATATAGGGTCGACCCTACTTCATCACAGGCCGCCGCCGCCGCTGCCCGCCGTGTGATGTCCCTGGGATATCACGCCGCGTGGCAATTTCCAAAGAGGATCGTGTTGATCTCCTGGGAGCCCCCGTGTTTACGGAGGGCTCTTTGGCTCGATCTCCTTGCTCACGGGATGAGGAATAGTCGCAGCGTGGCTGCTTCTTGCCCATTCCCAGAGGAAGAAACACTGTCCTACACTCCCCGCCCCCGCTGTAAACCCCAGTATATGGAGCCAGCAGGTGGGCGTGTGCACGTGAGTGGAATAAACCGAGTGCTGTCAAAGCACTGTGCGGGTTCAAGAGACGCTATTGCCGGCGTGCTGTTGTCAGAAAACACACCTTGCCTGGTATAATAGCCCCGATTAATGCATTTCACCGTTGCAATGGGAAATACAGCATTAATACGTGGGCGCGCGGCCCTCGTGAGAGTGGCCGCGGTGCGTTCAGGGACCCCCGCAGGAGAACGGTGGTTTACGTTTGTAAACTCTAGTTCTGGAGTGAGGTATGTGTGTGGGAAAAATGCATTCAGTAAAGACTATTGCATTTATCCCAGAGTAAGAGTAATTTCTCTCCACAATTCCACTTTTCCCCATAATGTCCGTTTCAAAGAGACGGCATTGTGACGGCGCGCGCGGCCCCCCTCCCCCGAGGGCGGGCCACGGTGCGTTCAAATACCTCAGTAGAGAGGTGAGACGAAGGGAGAGGTGCCGACACGGAGATCCCGTGCCTGCGGCACCCTCCACCTCTTCGGCCCACCCCGTGGAACCGGCGTGCCGGCACTCACGGGGACGGGTTTTCCGTCTTTACGGATCTGGCTGGCGGGGGGAGAAAATCTCTCCGCCCGGGACGAGGGGGCGAATCCCGCCTCCTCCCTGTATAATGCACAGATCACTACGTTTTCTAAATAGAAATCCACAAGGGCCACACTTACACACAATGTTAACCGTACAAATTCCCCATTCGCTGCCCCATGCTGCAGCTACTGTAAAGGAGGTGGCTAGTGGGCATGCGCAGATGAGAGGGATGAACCGCAGGGAGTGCTAGCTAAGGGAGAGCACTATGCGGGTACAGGGACATTATGGCCGGCGTATTGCTGTCAGAGAACACACTACGCCTAGAGCAAAGACTCCAATGCAGTTTTCCGTAGTGGTAAAGGCTGCATTATGGCGGAGCCCGCACTCACACAAGAGCCCGTGGCGGTGCGTTCAGGGACCTTAGTAAAACACACTACGCCTATAAATACTCCGATGAATGCTGTTTACCGTAGTGGTGAGAACAGCATTAGGGTGGAGTGCGCGCTCACACAAGAGCGCGCGGCGGTGCGTTCAGGGTCCTCAGTAAATAATCGGCCCTTTCTGTGTCAACCCTCCAGGGGCAAATCTTCCCTTCGCGGGGAGTTTTTGCGGCGGAACGGGTCACCAGAGAGTATCACAGCTTCATAGCTGCTGCCCCACACCTGAGGGCTTGTCCATTAACACAATGTTCTAGGGAATGGAAACTCAGCTGTGGGTGCTTCACCCGAGGGTGGTGAAGCAAATCTGGGCCCAGTTCGGGAGAGCGGAAGTGGATCTGTTCGCCAGCCGGCGAAACAGCCACTGTGCCCTGTGGTTCTCCGTGGCTCGGAGCGACGACCCACCCTTGGGGGTGGACGCGTTTGCACACGAGCCATGGCCAAGGAAGCTGCTATACGCCTTTCCACCGCTGCGTCTCATTCTCCCCCTCCTGAGGAGAGTGAAGCGAGAACGTCTGTCAGTCATCCTAGTGGCTCCGGATCGCGTTGGGGCGCCGTGGTACTCAGAGATTACACAGATGAAGGTGGGCCAGCCCTGGGCGGTTCCCGAGTTCTGGGGGCGATGTCTCAAGAGGCAGGTGCAATCGGGGCGTTACCCACTCTCGGCCGTCCTCTCCAGGTTTGGCTCCTGAGAGGGACAGGCTGAGACAGGGTGGATTGTCTGATAGTGTTATTCAGTCTATCCAGGCAGCTAGAGCTGGATCCACCACAGCCTGTTACAGGCCAAGGTGGCTAGGATTCCAGCGATAGTGTGAGGAGCGGAGAATAGAGCCCCTATCTTGTGAGTAGGCTCTATTTTATCCTTCTTACAGTTACTGGTGGACAGAGGGCTTGCGCATTCAACAGTGAAAGTGTATGCAGCAGCCATCTCGTCCTGCCATGAGGGATTTGGCGGCAGGTCAGCCTTTAGTCAACCACTGATGTCGCGGTTTTTACAGGGGGTCAGGAGGCTGCGCCCAGTAGTGCACGCCTCCACCCCACAGTGGGACCTGCCCCTAGTGCTCGAGGCTCTGGCCTCGGGGCCGTTTGAGCCTCTGGAGCTCTCCTCTCTGAAAGCATTGTCGTGGAAACAGCTTTGCTTCTTGCCTTAACGTCAGCCAAAAGAGTGTCCGAGTTAACTGCTCTGTCGGTGCACCCGAGCTGTTTACAGATTCGGAGTGACCAGAGCGGCGCGACACTCAGACCGAACCCCTCCTTTGTGCCCAAGAGCCTAAGGAGTGCGTTCAGGTCAAGGGCTATTCAGTTAGGGGGTTTTAGTCTTCCCCCCCATGGTGGGACCAGGGAAGCTAGACTGCACCTCCTCTGCCCGGTGCGTGCGCTAGCATGTTATGTGGAGCGCACGGCTGCCCTTAGACGCACCGAACAGCTATTCGTGTGCTTCGGGGGCGGGGTGATCGGGAAAGCTCTGTCCAAGAAACGCCTGGCAGGCTGGCTCTGCGAGTGCATTGCACATGCCTACGGACAGGCAGGGAGAGCCTGCCCCACGGGGGTTCGTGCACACTCCACACGGGCTGTGGCTGCGTCAACACTCAACGGTGTGAGTGTGGAGGATATATGCACAGCGGCGTCTTGGTCGACGCCAGGCCCCTTCATAAGGTTTTATCTCTTGGACATGTCGGGCTCTTTCTCCTCGTCTGTGCTTGCGGGGGCAACACAGGACTGGTAGGGGGAGGGGGGTTGTGGGTCAGTTGGCATCTGACCCCCTCCCCGGACGTAATGCGCCTTCGCTGTTCTCTGGCCTTCTGAGGGTCCCGGGAGGGGCGGGGGGGGCGCACTGGGCCCTTACAGGGCTGGAGGACTACTCTCCTCCTGTCGAGAGGCAGGAGGGGGGTAGCCCTCCACACTTTAGTCCACACACTCTGCACGGGGTCAGTGTTTGAGTGTGGGACGTGGGCTCTGACGCTCTCCCTGTTATCCTTAGGGATTCAGGGAGGCAGGCGTGTAGTAAGCCCATTCGGGGCCGAGGGGGCTCTCCCCATCCGTCTATGGGCGGGGGGGGGGGGGGGTCCCCCGGCACTGTTTTTTGAGCACACTTTCTGCGAGGCAAGCGCAGCAGGGTGTGCTCTGTCAGCCACAGCCCAGATTTCTCCTCGGTTACAACCGGGTTAAAGGAGAATGTGGGGCAGCAGCTGCTGACCATAAAAGCCGGTCAGGGGCAGTAGGGTGGAATATTGTTGTTGGACGACAGTGCGCGTATACATCGCGGCTCCACCCACTGTATCCATAGAGTCCAGTAGAGGGCGGAGCCTGTGAGAGATATAACGTCGGGTTACGTATGGTAACCCTTGTTATATTAGCACAGGCGGAGCCCTCTACCCAGGGCACTGTCTGTCCTATTCCGCTCGCTGAAGAGAGGTGTAGGATGATAGTCAGGAGGTGAGGCCTCCTTTTATACGGTGTGATGCGCGCGCATTCAGGTAGGCCCGCCCAAGGCCGGCTACGTCTATAGAAGTCTCAGTGGGAGAATGCTCGCAGGGTAAGGTAGTACCCATAGAGTCCAGTAGAGGGCGGAGCCTGTGCTAATATAACAAGGGTTACCATACGTAACCCGACGTTTCATCCCACAGGCAATACGACTATTAAACACCTGAGTTTGCACTATTTTAATTTTTATTGTTTTTTTTATATAAAAAAATGTATGTCTTGTAATTGCCCTGTTGAGGAACCTGCGATCTAAGTTCATACATTACATAACTACACCGTAGTAGTGTATATGTTACGACAATATACCTTTGAATCTTGAATGCATCCTCAAGAAGATATTTTGTATTAGCTTTCCCAAACATGGATTTCTTCTTGGCATTTCCTAACTGCTTGTTCTCTTTGTTTCTGTGCAGAGGACCGTGTGCAGCAGTACTTCATGGCACTCATCTGTGATCCTAAACCTCAGAGCAAACTTGAACAAGTACCAGTTGGCTTGACTGCTATCAAGCCTGAACTAGCATTGTTGGGAGCAAGGTTCATCTCTCTGGTTAACTACAATAAAACAGTTTATGGACCTACCTATGGGGGTATCTTACGGAAGCTGATGTTCAGCAGCAGCCCGCCACCAGCAAACCCTCCTCAAGACACCGCCCAGGACTCAGTCACCTCCAAATAAAAATAAATCCTAACTTTAAATTATGCTGTCTTAGTAGTGTTTCTTCTGCTTGTGCTCGAGAGCAAAAAAAGTGTCCAGGATTTTGCAAAAAAAAGAGTTTGTCTGCATGAGTATCTTTGTGTTTGACTTATATATTTTAGTTTTGACTTGAATTAATTGGTTGATAATTTCTCATACGTTTTATTTACTACTTTGACTTATATGCCATGGAAATACTTGTTATATGTCTTTAGTTGTTATGTTTGTTACATATTGAGGTACTGTAGTTGTTACAGTATTGCTGTGTTGGTTATTAGAACCCGTGGGGACAGGAGAGATGCTAAAGCAGATGTGTACTTTTATAAAGATTTAACGTGAATATATCGGAAATTGTTTTTCTTTTTTTCTGCCCCCAATTAATATAATAAATGTTTATATAAAAATAAAACATTTGACCAGTTCTTAATTTATTTGAGGAAAATATGTGTAGATGGGTATCACACAATATATATAAAAAAAATACAGCTATATGGTTCCATATTATCTTGAAAGTCGTACATTGTATTATTGCATGATATTTAATCTCGTAAAAACATTGACCTTGTGTGATTGTGTTTTAGCTTTAATGCTGTTCAATTATTACATAGATTCATAAATTAAAATTAACAAAAGTATTCAACCATAATACATACTATTGATGTTACATCGGATAATGAATACAAATTAGATTTTTACAATACCAATTGCTGACTAGACTGTTGAGGTAAGATGGGAAGTTATGATCAACAGACATGTTAGATTTACAACGTTTTAATACAATTTAGACCAAATTCATTTCAAGTAGCTGCTAATTTTGGTTATAATATTTAACGACAGTGGTGGAATTTTGCTCCACAGATCTTTTATAATAAATTAGTCGAGCTTTGCAGGTCTGAAAACAAGCCTATTTATTTTAAGCATTATACAGTAAATCTTTCAGGTTGCATTATCAGTTCATCCCTGTTCTGTGGAATAAACAACATGCTCTCATATCCTGCTGTCACTAGGCAGCAATGCTACCTTTAAATGCCGTTCAAAAATCTTGCAATTCAGGGGGTTGTAAATTAAACTAGAGAATGCAATTCCTGAAGAAATTGCTAGTGGGAATGCTTTATGCTGAAAATCTGACGCTAAACTGCTATGCTGAAATGTAATGTGTAAGAAGAAAGTGAATCATTTAGATTAAAATGAAATGTGTAAGAAGAAAGTGAAGAATTTAGATTGAAATGATACATGAACACTGGGGGCTTGAATGTGTGATGAGAGAAGAAAAGAAAGTAAAAAGTCTTGGAAAAGCAGCAGAATATTTGAACCGCAAACTTCTGAACTAAGTTGATGGCGAATGATCTGTCGCCATGGCAACAGCATTTGATGACACCCCATAATATGCTTAGATGCGTTGATGGCTGCATCGTTACCAAACCTGTGAAGTATTGGGCTGTTTGGAGTATTTTCACTGAAGTTATGAGAAAAACGTGTTTCAAGGCGAGCATTTTGTTGTCATGGTAACGGCATTTGAAGAAATCTCAAAACTGTCCCGTAGATGTCTTCAAGGCTGGACTGTTAGCACACGTGAAGTTTGAGCACTTTTTGAACATTTTCATAGGAGTTATAGCGACATCATGTTTTATGGCGAGCATGGAAACGGCATATGGTGAGATCTCAGATTTGGCGTAGCGCTCTTGAGGCATTGACCGGTGATATACAAGTGAAGATTGGGGGACGATTGGACAGTGTCGATTGGACTTACAGCCTCATCGTGTTTCATGGCGAGTGGTCTGTCGCCATGGCAACGGCATTTGATGACACCCCATACTACGCTTAGATGCATTGATGGCTGCATCGTTATCAAACCTGTGAAGTTCTGGGCTGTTTGGAGTATTTTCACTGAAGCTATGAGAAAACCGTGTTTCAAGGCGAGCATTGTGTTGCCATGGCAACGGCATTTGAAGAAATCTCAAAACTGTCCCGAAGATGTCTTCACAGCTGGACTGTTGAAGTCTGCTGCATGGCAGTTGGAGTTATGACATCATCGTGTTCCATTACACAGGTGTTTATAGTTGAGCTAACGAGCTCTGTAGAGATCACAGGTTTCCATTGTTCTGAATGAGAGATGAACCTCTTACATGTGAACGTTTTGTGGAAGAACCGTAACAGATATCTGTGAAATTTCAAAACGTGAAGCATGTCAAGGAAGTTGAGTAGGCTATCTGAAGTGTAATTTGTGTGTACTTTCGGGTTAATAATGCTACCGGCTGCTACCGTGAGGAAATATCTGCCTGAAATTACAATGGGCTTCAATGGAGGCATGTTGAACGTTTTTGTCACTTCATTCCCTCAAGAGGCATTTTGTTGAATTATTTTTTGCTTAATTATTTGTCATTTTTCAAGCTACGAGATGTTTTCCTACGTTTATCATGAAAAATTATGTCCCAGGAATGTAGGGTTTGTGAATTATGGCAGTTTAAAAAATATATATGAAGGCACATTTCAAGATTTCTTACCCTCTAGCTGACATCACGCACTGTAGTTTTACAGGAATAATGTCAGAAAGATTTGTAACATTTTAAAGTTGGAATGAGGTTTCTGAGTGAAAGTATGAATGAACAGTTAGCAGTTGAAGTCGCATGAAGATTTGTTGAAGTCTGAAGATTTCCTCCATTGACTTCAATGTTAAAAATGTGATGTATTATGGGATGTAGGCCTATCTCTGGAATTATGAAAGTTATGAATGAGAAAAGTAATAGCCATCGATTCCCGACCGAGCTGAACGTTTTGATGTTTGAACGGAGTTTCTGCGATTAAGAAGAAGAGGGCCAAAATAACCCGGCGGAATAATAATAATAATAAAAATTTCGTGCGTAGAATAAGTTAGTGGGAATGCTGTAAACAGCATTAAATGCTGTAAACAGCATTCCCACTAAATTAACACTTTTTGGATTACCAAGCTTTGTAAAATGAACATGGCGTACAACATTTAGACTGTTTAAAAATGTCAGAAAAAAGGTTCTGTAAACAACAGATGGTTAAAAATATGTATAGATACAATGAATGGCTAAAGCAGGGGTACTCAAATACAAATGTTAAAGGTCCAAAAAAATTGTTTCAATAAGACAAAGGTCCGTTTATTACGGTCATTTAACCCTTTAAAGAATTGCAACAAGATTCTTAACACGAGGTTGCAAAAACAAAAAGTCTCTGTATGCAGCAGTTTTCATTGTTATTGTGTATGTGCTTGATCCCTCAGAGTCGCAGTGTAAGAGCTGTTATGAATAAAGGCAGCTGCACCCTCTTTCATTCAGCGTGATTGCTTTATAAATGTCTTGTGTGTGTCCACAGGGCTTTTCCGTTGCTGGACAACCTGCTGCGTCCATTCCCTGGACGTCAGCTCACGCGTGAAAGGAGGATGTTCAACTACCGCCTCAGCCGGGCCAGGTTGGTCGTTGAATGTGCGTTTGGCATCCTCTCATCACAGTGGAGAATGTTCCGGCGTGTCATCACCACCAGCCCAGAGGTAACAGAGTTGTGTGTGAAGGCCACCTGTGTGTTGCATAACTTCCTCCGCAGGAAGACAATAGGAAGGCCATCACGCACACCTGTCGTCGCAGAGTCCAGTGATGAAGCTCCAGCTACTCCAACCAGGGTCGGCGTCATGGGGGGTCATTCGCGGGCCATGCCCCCCCAAATGAGTCACTGTGCCCCCCCAACGCAGGGTGGGCAAGCCTTATTGCCACTTTGCCGTTTTTTTTTTTTTTAATCATATAAGTTAAAACGTTTCCACCAAAAGTTTTTTGTGTGAAATACATCAGAAATAAAGAATACACATTTGTATTCTTTATGTATTCTTTATATGAAACACAGCCTGAGGTGTGCTCACTGCTGCTCTCTGATTGGTGTGTTGCTTGACCAATGACCCCGACTTTTGTTTTGTTATCATTACGTGGCTGTGTGTTTAGATGAAAGCCCAGTGGCGATCTGTCCATCTGTTATACTGATTATACAGTAAAGCCATCGAAAATAATATGATATACAGTACAGTACAAGTACATGGGTCTCTGTGTTTCATTCAAGCTCGGCTCTCTGTGTGTGGCACGAGCGCATTTTGTCAGTGCGCGAGCGGTAACGTGGAATATTGTTGTTAGCATCTGGTTAGCTAGCTATGCTAACGGATATAAAGAGCTGTTTCTACACCAAGGTGGAGGAGAGTGCTCTCCTGTCAGACTGAGAGGATCTTATAACGTCAGCTCAGTGAGGTAAGGACTCTCAGTGTTTAGATAGTTCACTTTAGTGTAAGTTATCTCAGTGGGTCTCAAACGGTTTGGTGACCATTTATGTAAACAAGTATTTGCGAGGAATAGGCTACCTTTATATGATCATTATAGTCATTAAAGAATAAGAGAATAAATTAAAAACGGGTATGAAATACTATAGGACAGTAACACAAGAATACAGTTGAAAGGGGAGTGATTAGTAAAATATCCATAAAGAAAAAGTAAATCTGTGTACAGTTCTGTTTCATATGGATGTTGAGAGATGTATCCATAGATCTTCATGTTGCTCTCAAAGTGCACCAGATTGATGCATTTAACTTCAATATTTTAAAAATAATCTTCCCGGGGGAGCATGCCCCCAGACCCTCCTAGAGGAGGTTAGGTCCACTCCCCACCTAAAACATGTTCACATGGATAGGATACTAAATACTAAACACTTTTCATATGGTGGCCTATGTCCATATGTTTCTGTTTTGGTGGTCGTGCCACAACCGTGCATGGTCACAGGTCATAGGTGCGCTATAAAATAGCACTACACCCTGCAATGTGTGTGAAAGACAATACACTTTACAGCATGTTTTTTTAAATTGAAGTTGCGTTGGTGTTTGTGTGTTGGTTGTTGACGGCAGTATGTGCCCCCCCTTGGTAAATGATTGCCCCCCCATTTGATTTGTTCTAGAGCCGACCCTGACTCCAACCCTGCGTGATGCA